AGAAATCAAATCACTTTGAAGACTCAAAATAAAACCAAATATTTATTCTTCTTTACTAAATGAACAAGGGCTGAGGAGATAACTCAGGGTATCTAAGCACCTGCCTGGCATGCGCAAGGACCTGGGTTCCATCCCCAGTACCGTTGCTGTGCTGGCCCCGGGACACCTGGCATGCTGAGTTAGTCACTGAAACTGGGCGTGGTGTGCACACCTGCAGTCCCAGCACTGGGAAGGCTGAGACAGGAAGATCGCTGTGAGTTGGAACTACATAGCAAGACCTTGTACCAGATAAATAAATAAATATTTAAAAATGAGCAATACTTTAGGAATACAAATTATTAAATTCCATCTTATAGTATTTACTTAGGCCTCTGCCATCCCCCCAAACCCAGCACGAACTGCACTAAATGACAGATTTTAATACATAGACATCTGCTGTTTCACCACTGACAAATTGACCAATTTTCACAAATGAATGAAGATTGAAAGCCAGCAATAAACACAAAATGAACCCAGGAATACAGCGCTCCTTTACTCAAAGCTTCACTAATGATCCTGGTAGAACTTATCAGTTTAGAAAGTGAGATATAGAGGCATATATGAAGACAACTGAAAAATAATTATGGAAAAAAGAAATCTACAAAATGATATAAACAGGAAAGTTATATATGCTTCTAAATAAAAGTGTATGGCAGTGCTTTGCCACTCTTTTGTACAACCGCTATGAGTCTGGCCATGTGACCCCTTCACCCACCAGGGTACAGCGAAGCAGGCTCCCCTGGTTGCTGAAGCTAGGGAGACCATGTAGTTTCTATTAGAAACCTGAAATAACTAGGAAAGAACTCTGGCTACCTGAGGCTGTCAAACTACAGAGGCGTGAAGGCACAAAGCATGTCATTTCTGATCGAAATTGTCTTGAACCTTCTATATCAGCTCTTCTGCCAGAAGAGTACCCCAGGGCGACCTCTACAGATGCTGTAAGAATCAGAATTTCCCAGCAATGCCCCTGCCCAAAGTTTTGATGCTTAAAAGTTGGAGCTATTACAACATTTTTCTGGCTTTAAACTACTTAATTGTATGGTAGATAACTAGCATAGGCAAGATTACAGATAAGAACAATAAAAATTAAAAAAATCAAATCTGGTTTAAAGTGATCTTAAATTATTGTTAAATCTGGGAACAACTATGCAAAGATACAATATCATTGACTATAGCTCCTTGACAAACCCTTAACTCCTTATCAAAATATAAGAAATGAAACTTTCTTTTTTCCCTGCAGTTTAAGACGTATAACAGCACATGCAGGTACACTTATCGGTTATAAATACTATGTGATAATCAAGGGAAATGTAGCAATGATTTGAGAAATAGAACATTAGTAATAATTTGCAACTGTGCATATGCTCACCCCTATTTTATATCCTTCTTAGACCTTGATTTCCCTGCTTTTTGCACTATCAGGGAAAAGAGAAGACAATTATGTGAAAGCAAAATCTATTTGCGTTCATATAAACAAATTATAACTGCACAACATCAAGCATTCCATACTATATATTTCCCACTAAAGGGGAAAATACTCATTCTTTCTGGGTATTCTTTTATCATTTTCACAAAGGATCTCTCGCACTGAGATCTTTACAACTATCCTAAAGGAATAAATTGATGTTGTGCTATATTGATAATACTTCACACTTGCCTCAACAGTTAATTGGCACTTTTTAGGCATGACAACTACACAGTCATCGTGAGGTTATAGAGTTGCATGGGTTTTTGTACATCTGTCAATTAAAGCACATCTATATACCACATATTTAGAATTTAGGATCATTATATGGACTCATCACACTCCCTAGAATAATAATGATCAGGAAAACTATGAATAATATGAAGAAAATGTCTTGATTTAATCTGTGACAGATATTACCTAGGTACAATACTGCTCATGCGATTTAGACAATAGCCAAATGGGGCTATCTATCTACCTGCAACCAGAAGCCTAGACAATAGGCAGTGTGAGGTGATAGTGCTCTACGAAGCTTAGGTACTTTCTCAAATACTTGCGATACAGGAAAACAGGCCCAATAATGATGTTGCATTTATTAAAATATTTCAGAGATTAAAATTACAAAGAAGCCTATTTAAGTTCCTAAAACAAGGTGGAACATTGAGCACGTATAGCGATTTTCATCTCACAAATGCTTGCGTTCTGTTCACAAATAATTTGGATCACTAAGAGAAATGTTAGGTGAAATCTCACGTCTGTTGGCAAACACATTGGGTGCTAAACAAGAAAGGAGCACCTCCCCCAGATCTGGGGGATGAATAAAATTCTTAGACAGAATGCAGTTCAGCGGTTACTTCGACTGTCACCTGGTGCCTAGGCTGTGCATAGCCCAGTAAAGATACGCACAAAATTTTACAATCCTTATTGGTTAAAAATACTTTAGTAGAAAAAGAATTATAATATAGCCAGCAGCAATCCTAAGAGTAAAATGTTTGAAAACTATGGAGCAATTAAGAATAATTTTTGTATTTCAGACAATGTACAATGGAGTCCTGAAATAAATTATGTCAGGAAAACTGTAAAGAAGGAAGCACGTGCTTCTTTTATCATGATGGGCACAGACAATATTCATTGGAATATTGTCTACTTAATTTCTAGTAGAATTTGGCCTTAAAGTAATATAATTAAAATTCAAAATGAATAAAAGGGAGAATGAATGATGCAGTGATGATATTTTTTATTATATTTCATGGTAGGACAGGAAGACGTTTCCATTCCCAATACAGCACTGCTAATGTAGAGCTCTTCTATAATAGAAGTAGGAATACAAAGCAGTAGAAGAGGAAGCTGAGAAAGAGAAGCGAGACCAGAGTAAAGAACAGGGTTAAAGCCTTAATCTAAGAAAGCACTTCAGCTTCTTGTAAAATTCACCTTTGATAGTCTGTCTTTCTATTTACAAAATGGTGAGGCAAATGATACAATTATTCATGAAATGCCCTTATAAATTGGAATAAAATGCTAGTATGAAAAAAGAAATTTGTTAATGAATCTAATGTTAACAAATTATTTAACTTAATAAATGTAAATTACTTATGCTCTATGAAAGGAAAGAATCTTCAAGTTATTATTTTAGCATATTTTACTGCTGAAATTCAGTGCATCTGGTACTAAACTTTGGCAATGCAGCAGTTACAAAAGGGAAGGACTTAAAATTTTCAATTTAGGGCCAATTAGGCTTCATTCCACGCCTTCCAGGATGTGGGGAAGTGGAAAAACTGGAAGAAAGGTAGATGGGAAGATGGCTCAGTGGAATAAGCCCTTCCTTGGCAAGCACAAAGGACTGAGTTCAATCCCCAGTTCAGCCAAAAGAAAGAGAAAGAAAGCAAGCAAGAAAGCAAGAAAGGAAGGTCGAGTACTCCATTGACTCCGTGAGGCCCTGGCTCACGCCCTTCCTCAGCAGGGTCAGGACCAGTGGGAGGTGCGTATGACCCGCACAGCCAGTCAATAAATAAAGAATAGAACCAATGAAGAAAACCACAAATTCATCTGTAAATAGCATTTTAGCTTCTTATGAGCATATTTACATTGAATATTTTAAAGTGTATATACTTCATCAGCTAATTTGAACTGCCCTGATATGCTACACAGTGCTGCCTTAAAAACCTTCTCTTTGACCCACGGAAAGGCGGGTTGGAACTCGAGGGGGAAGCGGGGCTCATTTCTCCGAGGGCTCTCCTCTCCACTCCCACACGCACACCTTGCTGTGTCCTCGCATAGCCTGTCCTGCACCCTGATGGCGCTTCCACTCATGTGGATATCAGACTTAATGGAGAGGGCTCCAGTGCTGTGGCCTTATTGACCCTCGTCACTGTATCAGAGGCCACTACTCTGGTCAAGCTGCTGATCTGTAGGTCAACATATCAACTGAACAAGAGGAGACAGAATCTAGTTTCTAAAGCTCACTAAGTTGCTGCTTTTTTATTTTATTCTGATTTACTTTTGTCATGGTCATCATGATAGGTGACAACAAGAACTCTCCCTTGGATTGAAGAAAAAAAATTGCTATCCTTAAAGATATTAAAAGTTTCAAAAAGTGCTAAAAATAAATAGAATTTCATAAATCTAAAGGGGTAGTTGTCCTTCTCCTAATACCTATTTCCTAAGTAAATGTCTTCCTTTCTTTGTAATTTTTCATTAGAAGTTAGAACCACCAATGGAGCACGAGGGGGAAAAGATAGGGAAAATGTCATATCTTTCTTTATTATCAAATTGATATAATGAGCTCTCTTCAGGGAAATGAACTAAAGTCAAGATAAACTTTCAAATAAGATACACACTATATATTTCTTATCTGAGAGTTAAGAAAACCAAAACAATCTTTGATCCTCAGAAAAGAAAAGAATTGGTGATGACTAAGTGTAGGGAAACTTACTGAAATCACTTATTGTGTATACTTAGATGTTTTGGATGAATTGGTAGATTAATTGATGAATTCACCAGGCCAAATTTAAAAAAAAAATTAAAAATCAATAAATCAAAAGAATGGTATAAGTGAAGGCAATTTAATTAAAATGGAAGAACTGGAGATTAAAATATTAAAATACAGTCTAAAAATACCCTCAGTTGTGCTCAATGTTTTCCTTTGGTAGCTGCTTTGTTCCTTGCTTAAATTTACTTTCTTTAGGGGATCAAACATGACTTTAACTTGCACCTTGTTGTCAGGTTCTGCAAAGTGTCGATTGCTCGTTGTGTTGAAATCCATCCGAGCTCAACCTGCCAGAACATGAATTGGTGTTGGGCTGCACAGAGCCTCAGGCAGCCTTGAACCTTTGAGTCCCAGCTGTAAGACTTCTCATCCAAATTTTCTCACCTTCAAATCCTACATCAGCAGTCAGAGGGAGCCATATTTTAATCAGTCATGTTAGGTGGTTGTTGCCTTAGATAGATGGAACAGGCTTTTTTAAAAATGAAAATTGGCCATCAAGAATGTTATCCAGTGCTCGATTTGGCAGCACATATCCTAAAACTGGAATGGCACGGACAAGATTAGCATGGCTCCTCCACAAGGGTGGCACACAAATTCATGAAGTATTCCATGCTACAAAAAAAGAAAGAAGAATATTGAATGAAAGCAAGAGACAGGAAAAGGAATACTGTGGGACTGTCCTGCTTCAAGGTTGTATATGGTGAGATTTTTGGACTTATGTGTAAACATAAGAAGTTTGCATTCTTTATGCATATTTTTAAAATATATTCTAATTTTTAAATGTTTTTTCATCATATTCTATAGGGACTTAAAGTTCAACATATCAATACTTGATGAAAAATACCTGTTCCGTGTTATG